GTCTTCAAGTTGTTCTAAGACAGCCGTCCTTGAAGACGCATTGAGCTGCCTAGACACCTGAAGCATCACTGAGGGTCTAGATAACATTTCTTCACGCACTTTTCGGGGCATGCATGCAGCAACTTCACGCATTAACTCCGCAGGAGGGAGCAGCCCTTGCTGCAGATATTTTGTTGCTTGCAGCTGCAGCCGCAGCTGCTGCAGCAGCTGCTCGTTTGATAGGGGTTCAAGGTCAGCAAACTGAGTTAAATCTTCCTTCTCTTTTGCTGCTGCTCCTGCTGCTGCACCTGTTGCTGCTGCTGCACCTGTTTCTGCTGCTGCGCCGGCTGCTGCTGGGGGTGCTGCTGCTGCAGCACCTGTTGCTGCTGCTGCACCTGCTGCTGCGCCGCTGCGCTCTAGCAAAGCTGATATGACACCATCTATATTGAGATCTTCTTGCATGTCTCCTCCTTTTACTGTCTCTTCATCGAGATGTTGTGAGAGAGAGACATGAGAGGGGGCATATAAGGGCTTGGCCCAGGTGCTGCTGCTGCTTCCTGCTGCTGCTGCTGCTGCTGCTTCCTGCTGCTGCTGCTGCTGCTGCTTCTGCTTCAGCATCTGCTCCGCTCGCGTTCGGAATTGCTGCTGCAGCCGCAAGAAGCTGCGAGTGAAGGTCTCAGAAGGAAGGGGGGGGCCCCCCTGTGGGTTTGGAGGCCCTTGATCTTCATCTAATGCAAAGAGAGGCAGCAAACCAGCTACTTTATTACTTACGCAGCAAGCAGCAGCAACAATACTGTCTCTATAAGACAGACTGTCTCCTAAAGAAGGAGAAGGAGACATCTTCAGGAACGGGGGGATCCGTGTAACGATGCTCTGCTGCTGCTGCATACCCCCCTTAGCTGCTGGCTTTATAATGATATAACAGACTGTCTCCTAAAGAAGGAGAAGGAGACATCTTCAGGAACGGGGGGATCCGTGTAACGATGCTCTGCTGCTGCTGCATACCCCCCTTAGCTGCTGGCTTTATAATGATATATCTTAGGTGTATATACACCGTAAAGACCTGAAGCTTTCATATGCATGCAGGTACGCCCTCTGGGGCCCCCTCTACTGAGGGTTTAAATACGTTAAGAAGTATATTAATTAAAGTTATAAGCAGAAGAAAAGACAAAAAATAATTCAAAATAAAGGACAATTCAGCACAAACAAACATAACACCTCACCATACACCTCAACTCAGCAGCAGCAGCGCCGTGCAGGTGCTGCTGCTCTCTGATCAGCAGCAGCAGCAGCAGCAGCAGCAACAACAGCAGCAGCAGTAGCAGATGGGTCTGTTGCTGCTGTTACTTTAGCAAAAGAAATTAAACACAAAAGCCTTCTAAGGAGACAACTTGTACAGAAAGGAGACAAAAAAAGAGAAGCAAAGGAGACATTTGGATGTCTGACTTTGTTTTATAAGTTTAAAGGGGCTAGTGTATCATTAGCTGTCTCCTTTTCTTCTCTAATAAAGATTATAAGAGATAAAAACAAAGAAAACAAACAAAATAACAACGTTCAAACAAATGCATGCAAATATTATTAACAAATATTAAATGCCTTCAGCTGATCCGTACATCTACGTACACTGTATGTACACCATATATATATATATATATATATATATATATATATATGTATATATATACCGTATATACATTACTACAGATTATATTTATTGTGTACGGTGTACGCACTTGGCTAGTAGATGCATTCTTATAGACGAGTATATATACTGCAGTGTGAATATATATCATATATAATATATTTATATGTATATGAATATATATATAATATATATGTATATGAAAATATATATATATATAGGTACATATATGCATAGACATATATATATGTGAATATATATATACATATATTACATAAATATAATATACACTCTCTATAAATAGTACAAATATATATATATATATATATATATATTACATAAATATAGTATTACACTCTATATATATAGTATATACATATATATATATATGTTATTTATATACCCTTCTGTACTATACACAAGTATATTCTGCGTCTACATATGCACATATATGTGTATGCAAATATATATACACGTAGGCTTATGTATGCATAAAGAGGTGTATATATATATATATATGTATATATACATATATATATATATATATAGCGAGAAAGAGATATATAGATATAGACATATATATATATATATATATGCATGCATGCATCACTACATCTATATAGATATATATACATATATCTATATGCATCTACGTAAATATATATATATATATATGTACAGACTGTCTCCTGTGCTCTATCTCTTCGTCCCTGGCGTTTGTCTCCGAAGCAAAGGAGAGAAGGTGCAGTGTACAGACAGCTGAGGGTCTGTAGTTGTAATTAAAAAAATAAAAAAATAGAGTGTCTCCTTTCTGCCCTGTCTGCTCTCTCTCTCTCTGCTCTCTTTCTTGATTGCATGCGCTGCTATTGCTGTCTCTAAAGACTCTCTGAAATAAACAAACCTAGAGACAGAGGAGGAGACAGACAGACGGAGATGCAGCAGTCCTAACAAACTAACTGTCTCCTCTTCGTTTCTGCTGCATGCGCTGCCCTCTATCTATTATTTTATTCAAATGTACTAGACGAGTTAACCCGTTTGAGACAAAGAAAGAGAGAGATAGAGGCACTCTTAATCTCCCCTACAACAGCTGCAGCAGAAGTAGCAGCAACAGCAGCAGAAGTAGTAGCAGCAGCAGCAGCAGAAGTAGCAGCAGCACAAGAAGCAACAGCAGCAGCAGCGGCAGGAGTGTCTCCACGTTAGAGGCGAGCGACGTGCAGCAGCAAACGCACGAAGTAAAAGATGTATGAAAATAGACAGAGAGAAGGAGACAAAGAGGAGACAGAGACAAGGCATTGGAGACAGAAGAATAACTTCCTCATAAACTGTCTCCTTTGGTGTCAGCGTGTCTCTCTAAGCTGCACTAAGGGCTGATGTTTGCTGCTGATGCTTCTTTAATAATAAAGTTTCAGCAGCCACAGCAGCAGCAGCAGCAGCAACAACAACAACAGCGACAGCAACAGCAGCAGCAACTGCAGCAGCAGCAACAGCAACGCATGCAGAGCACCTCCACATACACCCTACGGTGTATGTGGATGTGTCGTGCATGCACTAGGCCTTGGCTTTCAAAAGACTGAGGCTTAATTACAGAGGTGACAGACAAAAAGAGACAGACAGAGAGACAGATAAAGAAAAACAGAAAAGGAGAGACAGATAAAGAGAGACAGTAAAGAGAGACAGTAAAGAGAGACAAGTAGAGACAGACAGATAAAGAGAGACAGATAAAGAGAGACAAATAAAGAGACAGACAGATGAAGAGAGACAAGTAAAGGGAGACTGACAGATAAACAAAGATAGGCAGAGGGAGACGGGTGCATAGACAGATAAATAGAGACATAAACAGAGACAGATAAACAGAGACAGACACACCAAGTGAGAGAAAGAGAAGCAAAGACAGACAAAGTCAAAGAGAGACAAATAAACAAAGACATATAAACTCAGACCAACAGAGACAGATAAAGCGAGGC